CGCCATCTATGAGCGACGGCGGCAACCATAGTTTTGTATGAACATTTCTTTGCGGGGGACACGATCCTCGGGAAACCAGCCCTTAGGCAACTCCGCTTCATTTTTGGTTTTGAAAAAACAATGCAGTCCTCTTCAGTATCGCCTAGGAAGACCACACGTCAAATATTACCACGCAGTTCTGTCTAAGTGTTTCTTAAACGGTCCGGCAAACTTTGCAACTCGCCAAGTTTACGAAATCGGCTGACTCGAGCGGGCGAATTCAGGCGCAACCAACAGCGCAGTCAAGGCTACGGCATGGGCGGAGCCAACATTGAGCTAAACGTCATCATCATGGCCCCGTTTTGCTTGTTTTTACTTCTCCGATCGAGCGTAGCGCATGACGTCAGAAACGTTGCCTCTCGGCGCTCAGCAGTGTCCACGTGCTTGGCGTACGCGCGTGCGCAGCGCACTTTTTGGGAGCAGACCAACCGCCCGCCGTGGTCCCGCCGTTACCGCCGTCTTCCGCGTCACAACCACCGTCGTCGTCTCACCGTTTGTGATTATTGCCTCTCGGAGTTTCGTCCACACTATGGACACCACGTGCGCAGAGTCGCAGACTTATGCCGCAGTTGTGCAGACGTCGTCGAATGCCGTAGACACCAAAACGTGGCGAAGAGTGCGGTGCAGACGACACTCGCGCCTGCCGCACGCCCGCCGCCCCCATCCCGCCCGTCGTTGGGCCGAGGATCACGTGACATCTCGTACCACGTGATGGCCATGTACTTGGCGGCCCGAGGCCAATGTTGCCGGACGGCGCCGAAGTTTCGGTTCCGATTTCCGCTCGTTTTTAAAATTAGATTTAAAAATATATATCCCATTTTTCGCGAAGCAAACGACGTAGTGTCTTTTACTAGGGCTTTTTAATTCGAAATCACTCATTATCCCGAAATCTTCAGAATTGAGCGGAGTTGCCCTTTTGCACCGAACCTGAGCGCACTGAGCGTAGTAACTTGGTGAAACTTTTCTTTTCTCAAAATTCGCTGTATTTTAGAAGTTAATTAAAATTACAAAAACAAGCAAAAAATAACCTTCCTCATGACGTCCTTGGTTGCTTGAGAGTGGCCGTGAACCAGAGGAGGGGTAGTGAGCTCATCGAGCGCTCACGGCTGCCGCATTCCGTGTCCACGGCTCGAGAGAGCGCCACTAAAGCATGTTCTGGGTAGGCTGTATGCAGCGGGCGGCTAGAGCGGCTCTCATTGCATTTGCTGCGCGATTAAACACTAATTCGGCATGACACTTCATTGGCCACAAACGACATCAAACACGGCGTAAAGATCAGTTCAGAATGGGAGCCACTTCGCGCTGCCATACCGCGAAACGGCCAAACCGCAAGACAAAGCTACTCGCCGAAGGCCTTCGGAACGCTCGGAGCCTGTCGGATCCTCTTGTCTATTCGGAGGGCAAGTTCGTCTGCTTCTTGCGCAGGGGGTATCGGTGACGTCAGAACGCCGAGCCCTGATTGGCTGATCGCGGCCCCCCTATCTGAGCGTCGTCTGCTCCTTTACCACGTCGTCTGCTCGCAACGTCGTCTGCGTCTGTCTTACCTTTCCTGCGACTTTTGGAAGTGCAGGCGACGATCTTACGCCGAAAATGTGCGTAAGACATAACTTAAGAACAAATCCGTATTCACGAAACGAAATTTTCGTAAGTTTTGCGCAGGTTACAACGAAATCCTACGACAGCTCCGAAGCTGTCTTACGCACTTCTTACGATCAAATGAGCATGGCCGACAGCGTCGCGGTCGCGACGACCAACGGAAGTTTATTTTTCTACGTGCGCTTCTCACGCGTCCCGACTTCAAGCAGCAAGAAAAAAAGTAAAAAGTACTTGAAACAGACCACGACGAACAAGAACGCTGGATTCACAAACACCCGGGAAAAGCTCCAACAGCCACGATTCCACCGAACGCGACCAAGCGAGCACGGCAGTTAGGCCTAGCAGGCACTCCGCGACTCGGCGACCGTCTGCCCATGGCTGGCTGGTGTGCTGAATGGAATATGCCCGCGCGACCCTTGTGAACCCTTCCCGTATTATACTTTAATCGCTGACCTCAGTTTTAGATTAAGAGGTCACTTTCTTCCTCTTGTTATCTCCTTGTTCCCCGAGGCAACGGTGACTCTCGCCGGTGAAAAAGCGGTGAATCTCCCGCAGACGCGGGAAAGGTAAAGCAGCCATCGCTTTGACTAGCAGGCGTAACGCAGACGATATTAACTGCGCCAACCCGCCGACGCCGTTAAAGAATCAGGGGTCTCGCCGCACACGAAAGGAGGGAAAAAGTATTTGGAAGGGAACTTGCGGACACTAACACGCTCACACCCTCTCGGTTCTTAGCAAACAAACCTCGACGCTTCGGGACACCTCGCCAGTGAGTCATTTGACTTCCCTCCTTGATGCGCGTCTTCTAGTTCTTAGACAAAAACAACGTACCGAAGTCGAGCTCGCTCGTAAAGACCTGCACTTCCGAAAGTCGCAGAAAAGGTAAGACAGACGCAGACGAGGTTGCGAGCAGACGACGTTGCAAAGGAGCAGACGACGCTGAGATAG